CCCGGCGAAGTGCCCTAGTCGTGCTATCTTCAGGTTGTGCAGCAGCCGGGTATGGGAGACGTTGTCGAAGGCCCCTGTTACGTCTAACAGGAGCATACTTACCTTCTGGCCTCGGCCCCAGCTATCAAAGATAGCATCCATCAGTAGTTGAATCAGGTGGTCGACAGAGATACCCTTGCGTCCCCCTAAGTGCCCTCGTGGCAGTAGGCTATATTCCTCCAATGCGTAGGCTATGCGGGTGGCAATTGCCGCCTCTAGAATCTTACCGAGTGTGTTCAAGAGGGCAATAGGCCCGTAAGATTTGGCGATCCGATAATCCCGTGGCGCGGCCTTACGGAGGACTACCGTTATAGATTGCTGAAAGTATCCGGGGTTATGCCCGAGCCGGATACAGGCATTAAAGATACCCGTAAGCGCTTTCACGAAGGAGGGAACCTCATCTAGCCAGTGTCAGACCTTATTAGGGATGCCGTCGGGCCCGGGAGCCTTATCAGGAGGTGCCTTTCGGATACAGCGTAGCACCTCGTGTTCAGCAAGATCCGGGAAGTCAAGTTACTGAGGTAGGGAGGTCATAGGGATATGGGAAAGATCTGTAGGAGATAGGTAAGGGAAGAAAACTTTCCGGAATACTTCAACTTTCTGTTCTGCAGTTTCTGCGAGACCGTTATCTGGTGTTTTCAGTGTTGGGACCAGTCCCCCGGAGACGTCCCGGTTCCTGGCCCATCTGGCCACGCGCCACATGCCTCGGGGGCCTGCCTCGGTGGCCTTTCTAACCCAGGTCCGGTGTCCCTGCCGTAGGGCCCTCGCCAGTACTTTTCCTTTGCGGTTTCTGACTTTCGCATAGCGGTCCCAGGCCAGTCCCGTAGTAAGATCGGTAGGGCCCATAGCTATGCAGGTCTCGGTATATGTACGCCTGAATTTACAAGTGATCTTAATCATCTCTTGGCATTCCGGTGTGAAAGACGGGTTCGCCCACTTGCTTGGCCGTGCCCACGGGATAGATATTACTATTCCTTAATTTACCGTTTCAATAAGGAACTCTATTGCGAGTTCAATGTGCTGCTTGTTCTTAAGTAGAAAGGCTTTACTGTATAGGTTCAGGTTTACAAAAGTCTGTAATTCTTTTACTTTATACGCCTTCCAGTTGCGGCACCGCTGCGCCTCCGGGGTCTTGGTTTAGATGTCGATAAGGGTCCGTATAGGTAGGTGATCGGAATCTGCGTAAATCTTTTCAGTGACCTCACAGGTAACGAGTCTAGGGGTCAGGTCCTGTGAGCCAAGGACTAGGTCGATCGTGGTCTTCGTTCCGGCTTCGTCTCTGATAGTGATGCCCGGCTCTAGCCAGAGATCCAGATACCTTCTATCGCTTAAATCAAGTAACTGGTTAGAAAGGGTATCTCGGGCAGCATTTTCGCCGCCCCAGGTCGGGTGGTGAAGGTTGAAGTCCCCCAGTAAGAGAACGTAATCGTTAATATTGTTAATAGTGAGGTCACTGACAAGGCCTAAGGTGCCTGTGCCAACCTCGGCTGGTCAATTATATATATTGAAGATGCGAAACCGCTTACCATCAGCATCGGTCAGATCAAGCTCTTGAATGTCCCTCGAATGGGGTGTATGTTTCCAGGTGTTAAAGTCGATTTGTCGCGAAATAAAGAGGCACACGCGTGCCCGCTCGTCCCCTATATCTGTCCGTGTCGGGTATAGAAGCTGGTATGTTGTTTTGGCTGGATAATGGGTTGAATCCTGAAAGGGGTTGTCTTACGGTTCTTGTATAAAGATGATATCAGCCTCCAGGACCGCAGGGTCCCGGAGGAACTGGGCCATCACCCTATCCTTTGATCGATTCACATTGTATTGAAGCACGTGTAGGGGCCTATTCATGGCGACAATCTCTAGTACGTTTCCTTGATACTGAGCGGGCAAGCGTGTTGTCCTCGGCCAAGACGATCGTAGTCAAATGCCCTGAGGGGGTAGGTGCAGGAATAAGAGATGCCTCCGGCGATTTTAGAAAGGCTGTCACTACATTATCGCTAGTAATATCGCTAGTCGATACTGATCGTTCTCGGTAGGTTGGCTGCTTGCTTCGGGTCCTCTTCGCTGGAGGGGTGTCCCCTGTAGCAGGCGAACTGGCAATGGGGGCGGCTTCTTGCGTTACTTGGTGTCTAGCGCTCCGCCTCGTTGCCCCCAAGGAAGTGACGATGCGGGGGCGCCTCTTACTCAGAGTGCGACCCCTGGGGGCAGGCGTCACTGGTGCAGGCGTTTCTGGTTCGCTGATCATGTTGATTTGCTGGGCAATCGACGGTTCTGTCTCAGACGGGGTAGGGTCCACATCCATCTCCTGGCTTAGGTCTATCAGGGTCTCTTCTTGCTGTACAGGGGCAAGCTCCTGCAAACTGTGTAACGGTATAGATCCTTCTTGAAATCTTACTGTAGAGCGATTCCGCTCCGCTGACCGGCTGGTTGACCGGGTCTATCTCTCCCTCTGTCCCCCAGATCCTACAGCCCGCCCCTCGCTGTTGGGCGAGCTAGAGGTCTCCGTGTCGCTACCCACGAAAGGATAATCCTGTAGATAGGGCGGGATACGGTACAGAGGCTGCCGATATTGAGCTGCAGTTTGCACCCGCTCCTGCTCCGTTACGTACCTCGTACAAACTCTCGATCAGGCGGCGTGCGCTTTGCCGCATCTAGCGCATTTGCGTCCCTGGCTACCGGTAACAGACCCCTGTACGCAAGACCGGGTCTCGTGGCCTTCGGCACAGAGGCCGCAGGTTGTTTTGTTCGAACAAACGATTCCTATATGTCTATATTGCTGACATTTGAAGTATCGCCGAATCCGCGCGTTCCTATCGTATAGAACAGTTATCCGGCTATCGCTAGCCCAAATAGTCCCTTTCATGATTGCCTCGTTTGCATGCCTCGGGTCAGAGAATTCGACGACGAGAGCGGAAGATTTCTGGTTCTTATAATTGGAGGGATAGGTAAACCAAGCCACGCACTTGATATCGGGTTTCTGGTTCTAAACTTCCCTGTTCTCGCTGAGTAGCTCGCTGGCTACTCGATCCTGTTCGCCCTGATCACTCAGGTCCTGGATTGATTTGATCGGGATGCCATGGACTACTACGCCCCATGTAGGGCGTCGCAGGGTGGCCCCGCCTGACATAAGATCCGCCCATTTATCGTAGATCCTGGCAGTCTCGGCCTCCGCGGCAGTACGTAGAGCCAGGCTAAGATCTCCCGAGCGCAGTTGCCTGGCGGAAACGAATCGGGCTCTCGCCAGAGAGAGCGTTAGAATCGTTACTGCAGCTTTCTTCTTTGCACTTTCTGCCTTTTCTTTTATCTCTGCCGATGACTTCTTTCGGTAGGTCTTCTGGGTACTAGTATCTCGCAGTTTAACGATTACTTCGCGGTCCTTGCTGAGCTCTGACAGGGTGGCCGGGGCAGTACTGGAGGAATCGTGAGTGGAAATCGTATGGGCTGGAGGAGGCGCATTCCTGACCAGAGGCCCAAAATTGATAGCTCTGGTTCCGAATGCTTGACTGGGTACTGTAGGTATGTTGTTGGACGTTCTGAAGGGTCTGCTTGATCGAGGCCAGCTCAGGGCCTAAATGAGCATTCCTGTCGAGAATATCAGTCGTTTGGCGTTGCATGAAACCGCAGTAGGTGACTACCTGCTCGAAGAAGTCGATAACAGGCTTTGGAAGCTGTTTTCCGGCCTGCTCGTTGTGTGAAATGAACGATTTCGCGTCGGCGTGAAGGTTCAGTACGCAGGTAAGAAAATTCTGATTTGGTGAGTTTGCCGCCTCGGGAACCCCTGAAAGGGCCGGCCACGGGGTTTTCGCCCCAACCATCTCGAAATCCCCTATAGAGATAGAATCATTCGACAGAGGCTGGAGTTATTGACAAACTGGTCAGTTCTGGAGGCCGTAGCCGTCGTGGTGGTTGAGTAATTTCAAAAATTTGATTCGCGTTGAAGTTGTTGTTTTTTCGTCCCACGGGACTCCCACCATGGGACTTGGGACTTCCCGTCATAGAAGGGAGTTGGGACTAAAAGGGCGACGGGACTCCCACGGGACTTACGGGACTTCCTACGGGACTGTAAACAGTGCAAACAGCTAAAGACTGGTGAGTAGCATAAATTGTGCATTTTTCCTGGTAATTTTAGGTATTATACATACAATATTACTCCTGATAGCTCTATACATTCTTAGAGATGATAAAAAGATAGAATATAATTATTTAAATGATTTACTTTGGGCGTTTCCTTGTCCTTTCAGACGTCCGCATTTGACTCGAGCCCTCGTTATTGATTGTTATAGGAGGCAGTTGGGGTTCCGTCTTATCATTATTATCTTCTTCTTCTCTTTCTGCATGAGAAACAAAACTCCTTCGTCTCTTACCTAGCACACGCTGGCTTGGTTAGGTTGGTGTATAGATCATAAAAAGATCAAAGTTATCCTGTTCCTCACTTTTATCTTTATTATCCTCTTCATTGTCACTGATCGGATCCGGGGTATACTGAGCTAGGTTCGCCTCTCTTTTTAAAGCTGTTCGCTGTCTCTCTTCGGCAGTAGGCTCTTCCTCTTCGTTAGATTCACCTGTAAGATCTGTAGTATCAATGTCTGTCGGTTGACTTGGTCATTGCCCTTACTAACTATCCCTACCGGCCCTACTAACAGCTCTACTAACCCCCGTTTGCTCCTGCTGGGCGACTTCAACCTCCACCACCCAGCGTGGGGGGGAGAACGCTCTGAGAGAGATCCATCGTCTGACCAGTTGCTAGAACTGACGGATACGAGGTGCCTGGACCTCTGGCTAGAGCCAGGCACTACCACGTGGGAGCGCAACGGAAGCAAGACCACTATCGATCTGGTCCTCGGCTCGCAGGACCTGACCCCCAGGCTCGTTTCCTGCGAGGTCAACGAGCGAGTCCACGCAGACTCGGACTACTATCCCATACGAACTCTTCTGGATATCAGCACTAAAACCCCTGAGGCACAGCTCCGAAGGAACTGGAAAGCCTGTAGTGTCAAGGACCTGCAGAGTTTCGTGGACCTTAACCTACAGACCAAGGCCTTTCCCTTACAAACGAAAAAGCATATTGAGCTCGCTATGGAATACCTTATCGAGACAGTCAATCAAGGAATTGCTGCCTCTACCCCGTGGGCGAAGCCCAGCAAGTGGGCGAACCCTTCATTCAATGCAGAATGCCGCGAAATGGTCAAGATCACCCGGAAATTCCGGCGTGAGTACACGGAATCAGTTATTGCGAACGGCTCTGTCGACCCTACTACAGGCCTCCGGTGGGAGCACTATACCAAAGTCAGGAACCGCAAAGGAAAGGTGTTGGCTAAGGCACTGCGCCAGGGTCACCGTTCTTGGGTCCGCAAGGCTACCGAATCAGGCCCTCGAGGCATGTGGAGGGCAGCTAAGTGGGCGAGAAGCAAGGAGGCTCGCGGAGGCCTCATACCTACGCTGATAACGGATGGCGGGCTCGCAGAGACCGCAGAACAGAAAGTAGAGGTATTTCGCAAAGCCTTCTTTCCCGAACCACCCCCGGCCGACCTCTCTGACATCCTAACGGCCCGGATACCCCCCCAGATCGATTTCCCGGACCTTACCGAGCACGAGGTGCTCTATTGCACCAGACGGGCGCCTCCCGATAAAGCACCAGGACCGGATGGTATCCCTAACAAGGTCTGGCACTGGCTGGGTGAGGTCTCCTACTTCCTCGCTGTACTAACGCAGATATTTAACGCGTGTCTACGTCTTGGGCATAACCCGGAATACTTTCAGCAATCGACTACTGTAGTACTGCATAAAGTAACTTCCCGGGACTATCGTCTCGCCAAATCCTACCGACCTATAGCGTTCCTCAATACTATCGGTAAGATCCTGGAGGCCGTAGCTACAGTACGGATCGCCTGGGCCCTGGAAGAGCGTAATCTCCTACCCAGAAGCTATCTACGGGGGCCGCAGGGTCATCTCAGTCGACTACCTAATCCAGTTGTTCCTTGACCAGATCTTTGAGAGCTAGGGCAAGGGCCGGAAGGTCAGTATGTTGCTCCTAGACGTAGTTGGTGCTCTCGACAACGTCTCGCATATACGGCTCTTCCACAATCTATGTATGATTGGGCTCGGCTTCTTCGCCGGCTGGTTCAAATCCTTCCTATCGAACCGTTCTATAAGGCTGCGGCTCCCCGGATATCTTAGCAACCTTATTTCAACCCTACCGAGATCCCCCAGGGATCCCCTATATCGCCGATCCTATTCCTCCTATTTAATACACCCCTCATTCGCGCCCTGTCGATCGACGGTATTGAGGCCCTTCGGATTCAGCTACCCCTCCTAGAGGGAGGCAATACCTCACGACCAGCTGCACATCAAGGACCACGCAACCGGCTTTATCATCAAGCCGGTGGAGCACGCCAAATCATTAGGAATCTGGCTCGATAGGACCCTTTCGTTCGACACTCACAGGGTTAAGGCCCTTGCTAAGGCGAACGGGACTTTGGAAGCCCTCCGCAGCATCTCAGGCTCGACCTTGGGGACCTCCCTGCTGAGCATGCGCCGCATCTACCTGGCCGTGGTAGTCCCCCAGCTGCTCTACGGGGAGGCTGCCTAGTATAGCCCTACGAGCCGGAGAGCCAACTACAAGAAGCTCGAGAAGATAGTCAACCAGTTACAGAGGATTCAAACTCGCGCAGCTGTTCTTATCAGTGACGCGTTTCGTAACACGGCCTCGGCCGCGCTAAGGATAGAGCTTTACCTCACCCCTATGCGAATACTGATGCAACAAAACATTCAGGAGACGGCCATTCGGATCCAAACCGGGCCGGATATGGCCTGCCCCCGGGGGCTGCGCTGGGAAAGGTTGAAGGAGGCATTCAAGGGCTCCGGATACTCTCTGATAGAGGCACTGAAGTGGAAGAAAACAGGTCCGCTATATGCATACGGCGACAGGCAAGAGGAGTGGGAGACCAGACGGGCTCATGTATTGGCCCCGTGGGAGTTGCCCCTAAGGTGTATCATTGAGGGGGCAGAGGCAGTTCAGACCCACGATAGAGTCTGCCGCGAGAACAGGCAGATCTGGTATACAGACAGAAGCGGCTATCAGGGGATGATCGGAACTGCCGCGCTCTCTATTAGAGCAGAAAAGACCGCCAGGAAGCATCTAGGAACGGAACTGAACTCTACGGTCTACGTGGGGGAGTCGGAAGGGGCCCGAATGGCTCTGGATCGGGCGAAGCTAACCCCGATCACAGTCTTCTCAGATAGCCAGGCAGCCATTCAAGCTGTGCGCAACCCTGGCCGGCCATCGGGCCAGTACGCACTGCGGGCTATCTACGGGAGGATAAGAGCCCTGCGGAACGAGAGCCTAAAGGATGCTGAACTGCGTTAGATCTCCGCTCACATCGGGGTAGAAGGAAACGAAAAGGCGGACAAGGCAGCCAAGGGAGCTGCGATAGGAGGAGTTGAACTAAGAGGATCGACCGATTATACGGCTCGCAGCTGCAGCTAAAAGAGATGTCCGCCAACGCTTGCGTACGGAATGGACAAAGCAGTGGGAAGGCAGAAAGTAGGCAGGCCGACGAGGCAGCTGCTATCTAAACCAGACAAGAAGAATTTACGGCTCTACGAACATCTCAGTAAGCCGCACACCTCGATTATTATTCAGATGCGCATTATAAGGATAGAATTAAGGCACTTCCTCTACAAGGTCAAACACGTCGACTCCGACCGGTGCGCCTGTGGCCTAGGGACCCAGACCCCTAGGCACGTCCTTCTGGAATGCTCGCTGCACACGGCCGACCGGAGGATAATGATGGATTACCTCAATCAGATAGAGGGACTGCGTGGGCGTATACAGGATTGCGACGCAGTTATAATATACCCGCAGGCGATTCGCTACGTTACCGAATTTATTCAACAAACAGGCCTCCTTCAATGATTCCGATTCGCTCGACAGGACGAGGAGGACGACGAGGAGGCTCCAGGACCTACAAACCTGCTAGAAGGACTCGAACTAGGCGAGGAAGACAATGGTTATATGGAACTTTAGGGGGCGGCCTGGGTCAGGCCACTACCAGTGGCGCATACCACTCACGAACCACTAATATAGAACGAGGCGGAAGGAGAGACAGCGTCAGGAGATGTAGTGGGCTGCGGCAGGCGAGTGGCAGCCGGTTCAGTTGCGTTGCTTTATGATTTATCTACTGCGTTTGTGGGTTTATATGGCGCAAGGCCTCGAGATTCTGCTTTATTCGGCGAAGCGCCTGCATAGCCTGTCGTTTCAATAGATAGGCTTCATCAGATTAATAGAATTTTGTTTGGTTGATTGATTGATTGATTGCTGGACCTGTGCCGGACGATATCTGGCCTCGCTTCTGGCCAAGTTCCTCGTGGTAAAACTGTTGGACGAGTATGAGTTCCAATTGGTCCCGGGGGTTAGCCGGCCACCCAACTCGGTCTTTCACGAGTTCCTTTTCGTTCACCCGGAGGCCAAAATTATGATCAAACGTCGAGCGAGCAATTTGGGAATCCGATGTCACTAAAACCGGGGGAGGAGCAAGTGGGGGGGCTGGTGTTGTTGGTGGACCCATAGAGACAAAGGATCGATAAAGACTGGAATGGTGGATGGTGTGGAGTCCGGTGGTGCACCGTAAGCACTAATGAGTAGATTTCCTCCTAGCGGATTTGAATCCTTGACGCCCAATTTCCGGAGATGTGACTTTGCCCAGTACCCCTGGCGTATCTTACCAAGTATGCCCCTCCATCATTTGGTTCTATTTAAAAGCCCTTTGCATTTCCGGGCTTCCTCCTCTCCTCATCGAAACTAAAACTTCACCCGCAGACCTCCCTGCCCATTGCAAGCGCCGCCCCCAATCATGACCAAGCCAATCACGAAGCCAATTACGGTCTGGTTGACACGTACGTTTATTCCTGCAACTTGTTTCGCCTCGGACTAGAGTCCCCGGTGGCCCTCTCCCCCCTCCAAGTGCCACAGAACAAGCTTATGTATAGCTACGGCGACTATGTCCAGCCCCCGGCCCGAACTCATGGAAGGTACGTGGAGGATGAATTGGTTTGCTACGACGTGCTGAAGCGTGATCGCTAATGCTGATGCAGGTTGTTATGGTCCTGAAAGAACTGGGCGTGCCCTATGAGCTTCACTCGTTTAGGTTCGAAGACGTGAAGAAGCCGCCGTTCACCGATCTTAACCCCAATGGGCGAGTTCCAGGTTCGTTATCGCTGCCCTTCGGAGAACCCAATAGCCAAGGACTAACTGGGAACCCGGGCGTTACCTTCCTTTTTTTTCTTGCAACAGCCATTGTCGATCCCAATACCGGCTTGACCCTTTGGGAGTCCGGTGCCATCCTGCAGTACCTTGAGGAGGTCTACGATACCGAGCACAAGCTTACCTACACCTCGCTGAAGGAGAAACATCTGTTGAACCAGTGGCTTCACTTTCAGATGAGTGGACAAGGCCCTTACTTTGGACAATGCGGATGGTAAGACAGCCTCATCTCTCCCAGAACAGAAAGGAAGACTCAGTTTTCAAATCTCCCGCACGATAGGTTCAACGTGCTCCACCCCGAGAAGCTGCCCTCCGCCATTGAGCGGTATGTCAACGAGGTGCACCGCATTCTGCGGGTTCTGAACACCGCATTAGAAGGCCGGACATGGTTGGTCGGCGATAAATGCACGTTTGCCGACCTGGCCTTCTTGCCGTGGAATACCCGAGTCAACAACACGCTCCTGACCCCGGAGGACGAGGACCCCCTGGCGCCGTATCCCAATGTGCAGGCGTGGCAGAAGCACATGGAGTCCCGCGAGTCATGGCAGGAGGCTATGCAAGAAAGAGAAAAGCTCATGGGTGAGCAAGGGTTAACGGTCATCGGAATGCCCAAGGGGGTGAATAATATCAAGGATTTTGAGGAGCATATCGCGAGAGAGTCTAAGGGGCAGTGAGCAGGACGAATGAAGTAGCTGCGATTACAAAGACGGTCCTATTGATCTGGAACTCATTTCTCAGTTATTTAATTTTATTTTATTTATTTATTTATTTATTTATTTTTTTTTTAGATCAATTGCCTGTTATTTTTGTGTTTTGGAGAGGGCCTCTACACTGTGGGCTATGCTACTCGTCAACCAGCTCCATAAGAAGGTCTGAATGGGCCGTCAGGTCGGATAGCACATTGACCATGCGCAGGAGTGTCGTGTGGACGGCAGCCGGAGCCAGCAGGACCTCGATATGGGCGAGGGTATCGGGGTTTCGGTCCCCTCCCTTGGCCGCTTCGACGAGCCAGCACAGAACGTTGAAGTGACTCTCGGACTTCTCCGGCGTCCATCCTCCAGCATCGTTTTTCAGGATTAGCTCTTCAATCTTTGGACCGAGCAGTTCTTCGGCTCGCCTCAAATGTCGGGTTTCTGCCCAGAAGGTGGGCAGGCATCGACTTAGAACCGGATGCGTCCAGTCGGGAAACATGCGAAGAATAACAATCGTCCTGAATACTGCGGATTCACTCTGTCAATAACTGCCTTCACTTTTTTCATCTGCTTGGCATTGCTCACAGCTTTCGGTATAGTTCACCGAGATATCCAGCCATCTTGGGTCGCGACAAAACACCAGGCCTACAATAACGCGCGCAGCTAGTCGGGCTGCAACCTGTCCCAGGACCTTGAATGGCACCATCTCCGTCCACTCTGAACACACGGGGAAGGACTCCCCTATGGCGAGCGTCAACTCGTTTTGTAATGCCGGAGTAAGCAGGGGTAGACGGGGCGTCAGCTTCCTCTGGATAATAGTATGATGCATTCGGCTCTCAAGGATAATATTGAGGCCCGTATACGGATCGAGAAGGTCTTTCTCCAGTGCTCCATGGTTGCTAGCCACAGAGTAGGGTAATGACGAGTGTTCATCGATCAGGTTCGCCGGCAGAATGACCACGTTGCCGTCTCCTCGCACCAGCTGGAAGGTTCTGTATTTAAACTGTATCACAGAATGGAGGCAATGGTGTCAGTAACCAACGAACTATCCGGCTCGCTTGAATGCTGTACTTATTCTGTGATGGACACTTGCCTTCTGATAGCCTGCTTCAAGGATCTCTGTTGCTCTCGTTGCAAATAGAATATTTAGGAAGACCCTTGGAGTCCACCACGAGGGACTACTGATCAGAGGGTGGTTCCCCCCTTTGTGCAAAATTATTCTAGTCATTATAAGGTCCCATACCCAATAGATGAGAAACGCCGCAACACATCCCCAGCAAATTACGGTCAAGCCAGCCGAGTCTGTCATCGTGGAAGACATGCGTACACAGCACTCCGTGAAAGGAGCGATGAGGATGCGGCGAGAGCAGGAGACTGGGCAGCTCACGGTTCCCAATGCTCCCCAATACTGTTGATTAGAAATCGTGGGTAGAAGCCCATTGGGGGCCACTACAAGAGGTCCAGAAAATTGCAGCCGTATTGACACCTGGTGAATGTGAGTGACACGGGGGGTACGGCTGCATACGCTCCCATTGAGCACAGTCAAGATACGGTCTGTATATCCAATGGCCAGCTGGGCACATACATTAGTGACAACACTAGGAAGACAGGGTATATGGCACTAAAATCTGACGGCATTGTAGCGATCGCCCTAGCAATGATTCGCCAACACGATCCCTGCACACCGATACATCCCAACAGCCACCTGTGTAGAACGCACCAGACTGCGAGGCTCTGCCCCTATAGCCGTGCTCTCAGGGGCTGTGTAAGTCTCGAGTCTGGCAATTACGACCTGCCATATAAGTATTCAGGAGTTGACAGACTTGCGGTACCTTGCACCTCTATTATCATACGATTCAAGATGGAACTCCAAGAAAAAGACAACCAGACCATTGACCAGGCGGTAGAGGTCAGCGAGGACGAGGGAGGGATTGCTCCGGGGAATGAAATTACCGATCTCAGGCTGCTTCTGATTCATATCGGACTCTGTCTCTGCACCTTTCTTGTCGGCCTGATACGATATCCGATGTCCCCTTCTTTGTTTCCTTACCCCTATGGGCTACCTGTGGGCTAAAATCTCCTTTGTGCTGTCCTAGGATTTCAATCTAATTGCCACAGCCGTCCCCGTAATCACAACCCAGTTCGACTCGATCGGCGATGTATGGTGGTACGGCGACGCGTTCTACATTTCGTTATAAGATTCAACCCTCAACCCCCTGTTTGCCAGGGAAGGGGCCTTCCGACGGCACTAACATGGACTTCCAGATGTGCTAGTCAGTCCCTGGCTGGAAAGACATTCACCCTCTTCCCCAAGAAGTGGACCTATCTATCTGCTGTACGTTGCCCTCTTCGAGTTGGGCAGCTTGGTTTGTGCATTGGCACCTTCATCCCTGGTCCTCATTGTGGGCCGTGCCATTGCTGGGTTTGGAGCATCGGGGATTTTTGCTGGCGGGCTTATCATTCTTACCACGGTGATCCCCCTGCAGAAGCGAGCCCTTTGGACCGGCACGATAAACTCAACCTTTGTCGTCGCCAGCATTATCGGCCCGGTGATTGGCGGCGCTCTAACGTAGCACGTTACATGGCGCTGGTGTTTCTACATCCACCTGCCAATCGGAGCCTTCTCCGTGACCGCATTCGTGCTGTTCTTCCGTATCAAACCCGCACGGACGGAGGAGGGTGCAACCTTGCAGAAGCTCAAGGCTCTGGATGGCGTGGGATTCAGCTTCTTCGCAGGCGCGGTTGCGATGCTCCTCTTGGCTCTACAGCTTGGGGGCACCAGTGAGCTTTACGCCTGGGACTCCTCGCGGATTATCGGCATGTTTGTTGGCTCCGGCGCCACCTTTATTGCATTTGTGTCCTGGCAGTTGTACCTCCAGAATGCGGCCCTGATCCCACCGCAGCTGTTTCGTCACCGAAACACTTCCCTTATCTTTTCCTCGGCAGTGTTCTCCAATGGGCCCTTCCAGTGTATCGTGTACTGGCTCCCAGTGTGGTTCCAGGCAGTGCTCGAGGTATCCCCGACTGCCAGTGGAGTCAGGTATCTGCCCACCGTGATTGCCGACGTTGTCACGTCTATTGTTGGCTCAGTACTCGTCACATACTGGGGCCAATAGAATGCCTTTTTGGTCTTTGGGGCCGCCATGGTCTCCCTCGGCGGTGGCCTTCTCTCGACCATTCACAGCTTGATACGCAGCTTAAGGAGCAGGTTGATGAGCCTACACCTGTGTCTCGCCAACGCGCTCCACCACGCTGCAGTGGCTGTGGGACAGTTGGATATACAATACGAAGCTGCCCTAGTTAATAGCCTAATTTAATTCTACTTTTGTTGTTGAAAAACTTCAAAATTTTCGTGATTGCACTAAAAGGTGCCGGCTCAGTGGTAATGCCGACTTGGTGGTTGATTACGTTATCGTCAATGTTTGCCGATAACTATAGTATCGTCAAAGGCAAGGTCTGCCGATAATTATCGTCAAATAGTATCGTCAACCTTAATCATAGACTATATAGTATTCGTCAACGATATAGTATCGTCAAAATCGGCAAACCGGCAAACCGTGAACAGCCCTGCCTGCGGGTAACATCTTGGACCCAAATACCCGCCAAGAATGGGTTTGGGTACTTGGGTATTGGGTAACCCGCGGGTCCTGGCGGGGTCTAAACCTGAGGTTTACCCGCGGGTAACCTGATGAGGTTCGGTCCTCAAATGGAACCGCCCTTAGGTTCCAAATCCTGGAACCTGACCAGCCCAAATGGAGGTTCAGGTTAGGTTCGTGAGGTTCGACCGCGGTTCCCAGGCAGGTCTACTAGCGATTCATGATTTGTAAACTATTATCGACATTTAAATGGAAGCTATAATGACGAGATAGATATAGTTATTACTACAATTAAACAGCACAGGATCTCGCCGATTTGTTCCACACCGCGTCTTGGATAATATACCCGAAAAACAAAAATTGGAATTTAATATACCGCTCGTACACAGCTCATGGGGCTAGTTGGGTCGACGATGAGGAGAACAAAAATACTACCTTCTCGGCCAACATGCCCTCTTCGTAGGGTGGAAAAGACTTATTTTGCTGCCTTAGAAAACAAACATTCCTGACAGACATCACCCTACAGTACTGGCGCTTTCATGTTGCCCGGCCTAAAGAAGGATCTTCACTTGCCTGCGCGTAATTAAATGAGGGATATCTACGCGTAAAGGGGCAGTGTGCATAAGGATATCAATGCAGTTACAACCTTTCTATTTTCCTGCTAATTGCATCTTATTGAGCCGCGATTGCGTTGCTCTTTATGTCTACAGGTATACTGATATTGTGGTCTGTATGTCTGGGGCATGGTTTGTTTGAGCATAATTTTCGGAAGGAGCTATGAAGCAGGAACTATTCCTAGAAGCTGTATAATATAAAACGTTCACTCTCAGAAAACACAAGATGCTAGATAAGAACACGCAAGGGATATAGTTGTGCTATCCTAGAGTGGAATATGGACAGAACCAACGATGTCACATCGGAAATGCATTCTATGATCAAAGCGACTGATTGGGCCAAATGAGTCGTATCGAGGTAGACGTCACACAAAACGATGCAGGCAAGGAGACACAGGGTCAACTAGAAATTTGAATAAACGGCTTCTGAATTCGAAAAGAAGTGGTATCTCCTGTATATGATGTAAAATCCCCATGTACCGCAATAAATTGATTGACAAGAGAGAATGATACTGATATGAAGGGTTGCATTTCTTGAAAAAGGCTGGCAGAGCCGCCGCGTGTGCGATCGTAAGTCTAAATTCCATGCTCTTTCTAATTTTAGACTAGAAAGAGTGACCAGGATAATGTGACGGTCTACAAAGGAGCTTAGTAAAAGACAAGTTTGTTTATGACTCATAGTCAAGGAATTTTCCATGGAGAGGAAAGGCTATCTAGGAGCGAGGATCTAGGGTCTCAGGCAAGAATGTATCCAGGAAGGTTCCTCCATACCGGGAAACTCCTTGGCTCAGGAAGTGACAATCCGGGAAGTTGCCTGGCTCAGCAGGTAACAGATAACAAGTAAGGGGCAAATCTCGTCATCTCGTACCTACTGTTTGGTTGATGCGTTCCTTACTACATAGAATACAGGCAAGGGATTATGTTGCTTTAAGACATGGTGTACTCACCATGGAAAAAGATCATAGAATTTTGTGCTTTAATAGCTATATAATTCGTGTCACTTCTGCTAATAGAAACAGGACATTAAAGGTTCAGAACTGATTTCCTGACCTGCAACATAACCGCAATAACATAACTATGTCCACTCTCGCTCGACATGCCCCGATCATCCCACATATGCAACGTGCACGGGTTTTCAAGTCTCAAAGAGACCGTGAGAAGAATACACACTGGTTGCTTCACGCTCATTCTGACATTCGGCAGCAATTGAACATACCACCATTAAAACTCCAACGGTGGACTTGGATGAGATCTTGGTGAAAATCATGTACTCAGGAGTGTGTCATACAGACCTCCACGCGTGGAAAGGTCTCAAAATCTAAAGCTCGCGAGCGTTTTTGTGCCTAATGGCTGACACATTCTAGGGGACTGGCCCGCAAAAGTGAAAGAGAATCTCGTTGGTAAGGAAAGCATACTGGAAAGCTCAATGACCCCTTCTCTTGCTTGCACTACGGCTAATTTGAATAAAAGGAGGTCATGAAGGCACCGGTGTTGTTGTTGCTACTGGAAGCCACGTAAAGGATATCGCGATTGGGGATAGAGTTGGTGTGCAGGTAGACTTGCTCTCTGACACTTACTGACGCTTTTAGAGCTAATATCCCGACGATAGTGGATTAACAGATCCTGCGGCACTTGCGAGTTCTGTGTGACCGGCAAACAACCTCTCTGTGCAGGATCCCAGTTGTCAGGATATACTGTGGATGGAACATTTCAGCAATACTGCGTGTGCAAAGGGGAAAACGCAGTACGCATACCAGAGGCTATTCCTCTCGATCAAGCAGCTCCGGTAAGCTCTGAAACCATCCATGCCCTGGGTCTGATGGCTTACGAATGTTTACATCTCGGCAGATTCTCTGCGCCGGCGTAACTGTTTACAAAGCGATTAAAGATGCAAATGCGAAGCCGGGCCAAACTATAGGTATGTAGCGCAGTTCTGACATGCATGAAGGTACTAGCTGACGGGATCTAGCAATATTTGGCGCTGGTGGAGGACTCGGGTCCGTGGCATGTCAGTATGCAAAGGCCCATGGCTGCCGAGTCCTTGCCTTGTCAACCGGTGCTTCCAAGCGAAAAATGTGTATTGAGGAACTAGGCGTTGACTACTTTGTGGATTACAAATGCTCTCCGGGCGTTATTGACGAAGTGAGGACTCTCACTGATGGAGGACCACACGCAACTGTGGTTGTCAGCGCAGTGAAGGAACCATTGAACATGGCGATAAAGGTAACGGTGCCTATCCAAGCCCTCATTAACGGAAGTCTTATTGAAACATGGACATAGTACGTGCGACCTGGGGGGACGGTAGTTGCCGTCGGCCTCCCTGCAGGCGCAATTTCCATGGACATATTCACTATGGTAACTAGAAGTGTCACACTCAAAGGGTCCTACGTTGGCAACAGATATGACACAGAAGAAGCATTCGAGGTCTTTTCTCAAGATGGGTTTGTGATACCTCACAGATTAGTGGATTTTGAAGAGCTGCCAGAAGTATATAAGCAGATGGAAAAAGGTATAATATGAGCGGGCCTAGTTTGGTTTATTTACTCTGACCTGTTTGAAGGAGAAATGCAAGGACGTACAGTGCTACGGATCGGGGAGTCCCAGCGGATAGCCTCGAGCCTTTTTGAACTTTCTCAGCCAAAATTCTGCCCAAACAACTATAATCTTGGAACGCTGCTGGCATATCGAATGGAACAATTGGGGGTTACGGACTATTTCGCAGTGCCGGGTGAGGACAATCTCTGATCACGCCATCAAGCTCTAACAGTCGTCCAGGGGACTTCAACTTAACCCTACTGGATCAGATCTTGAAAAACAAGGCTCTTCGGATGGTCGGATGTTGCAATGAGCTCAATGCTGGATATGCTGCCGATGGATATGCACGATCCTCAACCGGCAGAGTGGCTGTTGTCTTTGTGACGTTCATGGTTGGAGGCCTGTCCGTGATTAATGCTATTGCAGGTGCCTATTCGGAAGGTCTCCGAGTCATAGTAATATCTGGCTGCCCTCCTCAGAATACATTCGGTCAGGACAAATTGATTCATCATACGCTAGGAACCAAGGACAGAGATCAAGCCCTACGAATGTTCGCCGAGGTGACCACATTTTCAACCCGCATTACCACAAAAACAGATCCCGGGCAGAGCCTTGACTATGCGATCTCACGTTGTCTATACGACTCGCTTCCTGTCTATATTGAAATTCCGTCTGATCTTGCGCAGATACAGGTAGCTTACAAGACTCCTCCGCCGTATCGAATCGTTGAGCCTTGTCAAGTAAAATCATCTTGTCTTACAGCAGCAATTCGTTCTATCACACATACCTGGAATTCAGCTATGAGGCCAATCATTCTCGTGGGCGCCCGTGCCCGTCACTTCGCTTCTTCTGATCTCTTGGTGGCTTTTATCGATAAGGTTGGATGCCCAGTCTTCGTTCAACCGGATGGCAAGTCTATTGTGCCTGAATCACATCCGCAGTTTCAAGGAACATTCTGGTCATCTGCCAGTGAGCCAACGTGCGAGGATGCTGTTTTGAACTCCGATCTCTGGGTTACGATAGGATGCCGTTGGACTGACTATCATACGCTTGGTAATTACCTTGACATTGGTCTTGAGTCTCACCGTATCTTAGACCTTCAAAAGGATAGCATCGCATCACCGGAAGGAACGTTGATTGAGGGGGTTCCCATGCGGCATATATTACGCACTCTCGCTGATTCAGATATTGCTCAAAAAAGCACCCCCTTTGCTCCTTTGGAGACCAATCATACTAATGCGCAAAGGGAAGTGCCTGATACACACGCGCTTTCGGTATCTACCATTCTCCAGGGTATCCAGAATATCCTCGGTCCCGATGATACACTCATTGCCGAGACTGGGGATAGTTGGTTCAATGCACAATCGATAAAACTCCCGACGGGGGCCACGTTTCAGATGCAGATGATGTACGGCTCGATTGGTTGGAGTCTACCTGCAACATTGGGTCATCAATTAGGCAAGCCCGGTGGACGAGTTATAACTCTGATTGGGGATGGTAGCTTCCAGATGACGGCGCAAGAGTTAAGTACCATGATCCGTGTTCGGGGGAACTCAATTATCGTCATATTCAACAATTTGGGCTACGCTATTGAGGTAAGACTGGACGATTTCTTCCCTTTCATATCTTTGCCCTTCAACCAGAACTACAATAATTGACGGATGTGCCTTCGTGATAGACTGCTATACACGATGGCCCCTACAACTACTATAGCAACTGGAATTATGCCTCACTGGCAAAGAGCCTCTGCAACACGTTTCATGCCTCCTACCTCAATAATCCGCACGCTCATGGAAGCTTTGAATCGAGTATGAAACCATCTCTGCTCTCGATGCAAATCAAAACACAAGCGGAGCTACTGATAGCAGTAGATCGAATTCAGAGGGAGCCATACAAGCTTGCTGTTCTAGACTGCTGCATCAGCCCGGACGATATCAGTCCTGCGCTTCGCCGTTTTGGCTCTGCCGTGGGTAGCGCCAGCGGTAAGTAGAGGGTAGGGCTTCGACGACTGTGGGTCATTTGGAGGGGAGATGGTATTTGTCGACCGAAGGGCCTAGAAGAGGAATGCGATTGTTATGAAATTGTTACTGATTTATCTCAAATTAAATATGTCGTCAGTATCTCTTTTTGCTATTACAAGAATGATTCAATTTATTTTGGAGCTTCGAGACTAGAATGGATTACTGTAGGAGCTGCGTAGGGTAAGGCAAAACTAATGCCATGGCAGATTACGAGTTTTGATATAACAATTTGCAATTGGATTATTTGGATATTGAGATTACGGGATGAAAAAATGAAGTCTGCTAACCTTTTGCTCCCTGCCGTGAGTTGGACCTTCCTATCAATCAATCAATCAATCAATCGATCATCAATCAAAATTCTATTAACCTGATGAAGCCTATCTATTGAAACGACAGGCTATGCAGGCGCTTCGCCGAATGAAGCAGAATCTCGAGCCCTTACGCCATATAAACCCACAAACGCAGTAGATAAATCATAAAGCAACGCAACTGAACCGGCTGCCACTCGCCTGCAGCCCATTACGTCTCCTGACGCTGTCTCTCCTTCCGCCTCGTTCTATATAAGTGATTCGTGAGTGGTATGCGTCACTGGTAGCGGCCTGACCCAGGCCGCCCCCTACAGTTCCATGTAACCATTAGAGACTATATTAACCAAGACCTAGCAGCGACAAAAAACATTGTCGGATAACCTTCTAGATTCCATAATGCCACGTAAGAGATACAGCGATGATACAATCTCTTGGATACTATTGGCAACCGGCTCCCAATCACGAGTACCCTCTGATAGGAAATCTCTCAACTTCAGTGCAGCGCTATCGTCGGGTTATCCTACTCGGAAAGATAGCGGATTTTCGGTGTTGCATACTCTAGAAGCCTCTTGTGTCGGGCTGGGCTGGGTGATCGCTGACGCGATTGAGACTGACTAGTAGCCGATGCGGACGGGGATAGAGTGAGGTCATCACGCAGAGGAAAGATGGATGCAGAAGTTACAGCGTTGATCTCCGAGCCCTTTGCGCCGCGTCGTTGTCTTTTGGGGGCCTCCATCGCCGGTAATTGCGATTCATGTTTTCTTTTGACAGTAGGCTTAACATAGGGAACCGACGTGGATGGCGGGGTAAGCGTCTCCATGTGCTTAGGCCTGTCATCATCCCGACTATCGCTCTGAGAAGCGCGGACGGACTCAGCGTGGACCAGCCATTGCTGCACGCGGTCAAACGACATGGTCAGTCCGCCCGAAACGGGTAAAATTCATCTTAGGACATATGCTAGATAGAAGTCGGGGTAGTGATCATGAAAGTGGTTCGAGACCGGTCCCTTGGGATGAATCCAGGACGAGATGCTTCGGGTTGTTGACGCGCCGCCAGCCATGCATCATTCTGCCCTGACAATATGCACGACAGCGGCACCTGCTCGTCAGATTAACGTCAAGAGTTCTCTCGAACACTCATACCCAGTTCTCATTCTAGGCACCGTGCCCGGGATCAGGGGCGACCGCCCACTGCCAGCCACACCCAACCCGACCGCTACCCGCACACGCCACGACGCGTCACTGCGATGGCAACACACAACCCCTAACCAGGAGGGCCTCTACAAGCCGTTTTACTAGAGACAACCGCCGCAGCCTCTATCAGGGTTACTGAGCGCCAGAGGTTATTCAGCCCGATAGCGGCCTTTCTGGACAAACACCGGAGCCAGCCAGGCCTTGTGCCCTGCCAGCGAGGTACGCTCGATGCGCTCAGCAACGACCTGGCTGATATAGCCCAACGACACTTTAACGCCTATATTACCGGTGTTCCCTTGACTTTGACTGCAACTCCCTCTGCCCCTGCCCCTGCTTCTTTCCCCCCTTCTCTCCCGCCATCGCCCCCCTCCCCCCTCCTCCTCCGGTCTTGCTCAGTCGACGTACGCAACAGCCATTCAAACAACCAATGCCAAAGGCCCTGCCACACCTAAGTCTAGTGCCAAGCTAAAGACCATAATCCCTGCCCTAAACCAGTAACCCGATTCCCGCCTCTTTGTACGCCTCCTGCCGAATCACATTGCCAAAAATATGGATGTATACGTTATTTACACTAGCTTTCGCTCCCATCTAGGTACCAATAACAAGGTACTCAAGGGTGTCCAGTCTATTAAGACAGGATTTGCCCTCCTGCCTCTATCCTCTGAAACTCTTGCAGCCCTAGAGGCACAGAAAGAGACTATTTCTACCTTCTTTGATACATGCCGGATCGAGTGCAGCTCCCGCTGGATCTCTTACCAGGTAACAAATATACCAAGAAAGGTCGGCCAGCTTAATGCAAGTCAATACTCTATGGTCCCTGTTAACCCGGAGATACTATCAG